GGGGTCAGACCCAACCCCAGCAGATTGAGGCTGCTGCAGCATTTCCTATCACCCCCTGCCTCCTGCTGGGAGAGGGGTGAGAGATCCTCGATGCATCCGAAATTAGTGTAATTGGTAAAACTGCTCTGTAAAGCTTGGGGCAATTCATTATGATAAAGCTGACAAAAAGCAGCAGGGGGACATCACACAATGAAGAATTGTTTCGGGGCAATGGGAAAGAAATAGGCCCATTTTCCCTCCTTGTTTTTATGTCTCTGAGTTGTTTTGAGGGTTCTTAGGCAGCTCATGTGTCTCCCACCCCAGCCCATCCTCACCACACCACAACTCTGAACAGGACCAGGTGCCTCAGGACATCTGTTCAGGCACCTTCCTCTTTTATTCAACAAGAGCTTCCATCTAGGAACTGTTCCTTTCTTCCAGACCTGCTTTTTCAATATCCTAAGGAGACCTCCCTTCTATCCCATCTCTAGCTGCCCCATCCCTGGAAGTTGGAGCAACCTGGTCTAGTGGAAGGTGTCCCTGCCCATGGCAGGGGTGGAACAAGATGAGCTTTAAGGTCCCTTCCAACCCAAACCAGTCTGGGATTCTGTGATTCTATGACTCAGTATATTCTAGTTCATTCCATCCCAAGGGACCCACCAGGGCTCCACATATCGTTATTGCTGACAGACTTTGATAGCAGGGGTCAATTTTCTGTGTCTTAGGCCACCACAACTGCCAGGGGCTGTGGCTGCCACCAGTTTTTAGGAGGTCTGGATCCCAGTGAGGTGATGCTGTGGAACAAGCCCACCTCCAGTTACACACTGGACAATGTCCATGTCATGCCAGGGTCACTTCCAAGCCTCTGGAAGGTCAAAGTGTGCAGGCTGAGAAGCTGGACCGCAGGTATAAGGGGAATAAAATGAGAAAAGAGAGTGCCTACAGCCAGAGATGCAGCCAGGGAGCAGCCCAGGGCTTGGACTCTGCTGGCAGCATCGCCTGCAACGCTCCCCGGCAGCGCCTGGTGGGACTGTGTGGCTCCAGCCTGCTGGGGGGACACCAGGAGCTTTCCACAGCTTCTCTTTCATCATCTCCATACCCATTCGAAACGCTGCCATGCAATCTGCCCCCCACTTTGCAGCCAGCCCCCACTCCCCCCCGTTCACCTGCCAGTCCCAAGGCTCAGCCGCTCACTCCTCGCCGGAGCGTCAGAGCTGTGCAGATCCCGAGAAAATCAAAGACTCCCCATTCCTCCTCTGGCTTAGCTGGGAGAGTCGGGTTACAGGCAGCAAACCCCTATCTCTGATCACTCTAATACCACTAACCCATGTCATGTCAGACAGAGTCAACATTTGCCCTGCAAAGCACTCACCACGGAGAGAGAGCAGAGCCAGCCCGGCCTGTGGCCTCTCCCCGGCAACACTTTGAAATCACCCAGGGGGAAAAGCGAGGTGAACAGCTGGGAGTTTTCCAGCATCTCCTCAGAGCCCTCCTGACAGATCTTGGTCCCTGGAGTGTCAGGTTACCAGACTGGGGGGGAAACTGCTTTTATTATAGGAGGGTCAGCAGGGAATTGTGGCATTTTCAATTACCCCCGAGCAGCAGCGGCTGCGAGCAGGGGTCAGGATTAACTGCCTGACCCCCGGCTGAAGACAGAGTGCCAGGGAAATGCACCATGATGCTGCGAGGCACCAGCCAGTCCAGAGGCCATGGGATAGGGCCCTGAATGGGGAGATGTGGGGGGGGAAGGTTGTGTCACAGCATCTGGCAGGGGGTGCCTGTGACTGCCCTGCCACCGTGGATTGGAAGGGGGAAGAGGACAAGCTTCCCTCCCACTGCCCCCACCCAGGGACTCAATCTCACTGGGTGACCCAGGTAGCTCCAACACGTGGGGAACAGGATTCCCTAGCAGTCCATTCCTCAGTACAGGGTTCCCAGAGCTCCTCCTGCACTTGGAGCCCGCTGCAGAGAGGCTGAAGGGTGACACTGTGCAGTGGTGCTGTGATCCCTCACCGAGCAAGGGCCTCCCTGACTTTGAAACCACAGGGCTTGGAGACATCTAGGCTGGGATCCAGGCTCCAGCAGCGCCAGAAAACTGCGTTTGAAGTGGCAGGAGCACACAGGGCCTCTGTGCAAGGCTTCAGGAAGGTGAAGCAGGCACAGGGGGGTGTGGGGAGCGACCTCTGTTTCTCCAGCAAGGGCAGAGTGGAAATCCAGGACAATTCACCACCCACTTTCCCAGACAACTCAATGTCTTGCACCAGCATCTCACCCAAGGGGCACCCAACCCAAAGCAGCCCTCCTTGCCCAACAGCACCCCAGCCCCAAAAGGTCCCCAGCAGGTGACTGTCACTGAGAATAGTCCCACTCTCCCCAATCCAGGTCCTACCAAGGCCCCAGATCTTTGTGCTCCTACTGAGCTCAGAGTCCAAGCACACCCAGATATCGAACTGAAGATGATCTCTCTGGTTAAAACCTTTCTCATTTTCTGCTTTTCTCAGTCGAGTTCTCTCCTGCCGTTGAAGCCTCATGGGTTTTTGTGCCGTGGGTCCTCCTGGGGAATGGATTTGAATTTGAGGTGCCTTCCTCCAGTGTGAGCACCAAAAGCACCACAGGGTGAGGAAGGGAGGAAGGGAAGCTTCTCCTGACCTGCCCTCCATGGGGACCCTGGTGACCCTGCTTTGTGTGTAAGGCTGGGCTGGAGACCACCAGCACTTGTGTGTGTGTGACTCTCTCCTGCTGTAGGGGTTCGTTATTCTTTGGACTATTACAACATTTCTCCACTCAGTTTCTTGCCCAGTCCCACCCCTGTGATGGCATTTCAGGAGCCACACACTTTTGGAACTGATACTCCCCAGCAGAAGCTGAGGAAAGCAAGGAATGACAGACAGCACTGGGACTCTTAAACAACATTTGCCCTTAAAGCAGCAAAATCCTCAGGTCTGGGGCATTCCTGGTCTTGCTGGAGCTCTGGAAGGCTGGCACTTCGCAGTGTGGGAGGTTTTTGTTCCCAAGGTTCCTGGCAAGGTGGCCCCATCAGGCTGGTGCCCACACTGTGTCGAGTGTCTGGAAAACTTCCCAGTGGGCCCAGCCTCCAGCTCCTTGAGTCTGTAGCTACAAAACACTGGAAAATCTTAAGAACATGGCAAAGCTGGTCCTGGCTCTGGCCCCACTTGGATCAAGGCAGGCTTTGGTGTAGATTACAGCCTTTAAAACAGTTGTTAATGCCACAAGCCCAGCGACTTGGCCCAGGCAGCCGAAGGCTTTGGCTGTCTTTGAGCTCTTTGTTTAATGGGGTTTGCAGTGCCCATTTGCATGTGCCACTGGGCTGTGGAGGAGGGCAGGGCTTTGTTCCCACACTGAGGAGGTGCTCCAGAGGATGCTGGCACTCCCCGTGTGGCTGTTGGAACGGCTTTGGGGTCACTTGGCTCCAAGGTCATCCTCACCTCCTGCCCCCTCTCCATCTGCTCCAGAGCAGGGCCATGATGATCATCAGCACAGGGGTAGCAGGAGTGCAGGCAGAAGCCAGAACCCCACGCCTCCAACTTGCCCCCCAGATTTTTCATTAAATGATATTTTTTCCAGAAAATGCCAATTAATTGCAATGAAAACTGTCCTTAGGAACAGCCTGATTCCAGAATTTGAAATACAGAAAGCTCAGAGTAGAGAAATATTTCTAGAAAGAGTCAGGTCTGTGCAGAGCATTTACAGAATCCCAGACTGGTCTGGGTTGGAAGGAACCTTAAAGCTCATCTCATCCCACCCCCTGCCATGGGCAGGGACACCTCCCACCAGCCCAGGTTGCTCCAAGCCCTGTCCAACCTGGCCTTGAACACTCCCAGGGATCCAGGAACAGCCACAGCTTCTCTGGGCAACCTGTGCCAGGGCCTGCCCACCCTCACAGGGAAGGATTTCTTCCCAATAGCCCACCTAAACCTGTCCTCTGGCAGTGGGATGCCATTCCCTGTGTCCTGTCGCTCCATCCCTTGTCCCCAGTCCCTCTCCAGCTCTCCTGGAGCCCCTTTAGGCCCTGGAAGGGGCTCTCAGGTCTCCCTGGAGTTTCCCTTCCCCAGGTGAACCCCCCCAGCTCTCCCAGCCTGGCTCCAGAGCAGAGGGGCTCCAGCCCTGGGAGCATCATCCCTTGGGCCGTGTTTCCCAAGTGCAACAGGAAAGGTGAATCCCCCCCTTCTGGAACACAAGAGTGAAAGGTGAGCTCTGGAGCCTCTCCATCAGCTCCCAGCACTGCACAGAACACAGGGATGGTGACACATTGGGGGAGGGGCTGGCTCGCCAGAAGGGACTTTCCACCCCATCCATCACGGACAGGCTTTTGTTTTCTGCCCCAAGTCAGCTCCAGATGCACTGGAACAGGTTTCTGAAGCCCCCAAGGCAGGTGTGGGAAAAAAAATGATCCTCAGACTCGTGGAGTAAATTATGAAAAGGGAAGGCTGGGAGTCAGCAGGTGGTGGGAGGAGAAGGGCATCTGCCAGGGATGGTGCAGCAGTGCAGCCCAGCCCCTGCTCTGCCAACATTCCCCCCCAACTGCCCACCACAGGAGCAAGGGAGAGGATCCTGAAGAGCCAGCAGCTGGCAAAGCTCCTGCCATCTGCTGCAGATGGTCTCCAGTGGCAGGGGAGAAGGGATTTGGGCATGGCAGGATCTCTCCTGGGCACTCCCTGCCTGCTGCTGCAGGCTGGGGAGGGGATGCAGTGAAGGCAACAGGTTGGGACAAGTGAGGGGAGGAGGGCAGCAAATGTCAAGCCACATCATGTTTTGGTGGCAGTGGGAGCTGCAGATGAGGGAAAGAGAAGAGGGAAAGGAGGAAAAAGCCAAGATGGTGACGTGGGTCCATGGGAAGGGCAGGTCTGGATCTTAACTGGGGAGAAGAGAAGCAGCCATGGGGATGTCAAGGTTTCAGGAGGTTTGGAGCCCGGGAGCAAACTGGTCAAATTGTAACAGAAATACACCCAGTGTGAGTGTAGGATCTCAGGATCCTGCAGTGTCCTAGGGGGGTATCTCAGGACCTACAGTATCCCAGCAGACACACTCCAGCTTGCTCTGCCACAGGGGCAAACCCTGCCCCAGCTCCTCCCCGAGTGAGATCGCTCCAAAGCTCAGAAAATTTCTGCTTTTCCAGCTTTTTTTGTCAGTTTTCTGCACTAGAAATACCCCACCAGACCTTGAAACATCAAGAAGAGAGGCTGCTTCTCGTGGACCTCAGCAAGTCCCCTCAGTTCAGGCTGATGCTTCCCCACTCGGGTCACCCTGGTCTCCCATTCAGGCAGTTCCTGGACAGACTTCACAGAATCACTCCCAGCTTTAGTAGTAGTTTTCCAAATCAGATGTTTTCCTGGTGTCCTGACAGAATCTACTGCATTTCCTTAGAAAATCAGCGATCTCCTTGGGAAAAGAAAAGGCAAGAACAAGCTCCACAGACTCGAGCACAAGGCGGGGCCTGTCTCTCGATGGCTCACGTCAAGATGAGTTGCTTTCCTGAAAGGTGTTTCAGCTGAGACAGGACTGAATGTCGGGATAATTCCCATCCCTGGAAGTGTCCAAGGCCAGGTTGGACAGGGCTTGGAGCAACCTGGGCTAGTGGAAGGTGCCCCTGCCCATGACAGGGGGGTGGAACTGGATGAGCTTTTAAGTCCCTTCCAACTCAAACCATTCTGTTGGTTCTCTGATAAACAGACATTTCAACCCTTTGAGATAACTTCTGCAAACACTTCCCCAGGTCCTTGTTTCCCAGACAAACAATTCCTGACTGTAGCCAGCCCATCCAGGGCGTGGCTGAACAGCATGAGGGGGAACAGGAGGTGCCATGATTCCCTACTCATGTCCAGAGGACACTGCTGTGCACCCTTGGCAAGGAGGGAGCCAGCCAGACCTTCTGATGCACGGTGAAAGTGAGAAGATAAAAGCAAGACTTGCTGTGCCCCAGGCAGTACAACTCTCCCCTCCCTGTCCAGCCAGCAGCATAACTGATGTGACAAGCAAACAGCAACCTTGGAAAGCTGGTGAGAAGGTCTAGGCCAACCCAGCTTATACCTTCACCTGGTCTGCTCCCCCGGCCCCTCTGTGCTCCCTGCTGTGTTTGGCAGCAAAGCTGCTGGGCCATGGCTGCAAAGGAATTGTTTTGGCTGAAGGTGAGGGAAAAAATCCTCCTTCCTGGTGCTCTGCACTTCCCAGGATCTGTTTTGCTTCGTTGCTCACGGCTGAATTCCTCAAAGTTTGCCCCAGGACCAGGCTGGTCTCAGTGCAGTCCCTGGACACCCAGAGCAGAGCAGAGCCTGGGTGAACCAGGGTGACTTTCCTTGCTTCGTGTAGGGCTAGAGAGGCCAGCGTGGGGGGCACTTTGCAGGGAGCCCCTCGTCCAGGAGCACAACCCCATCACATACCCAGAGATGGAGCCCCAGCTGGCTGCTCAGTCCAGAGCCAGGGCTTCCCCAGCTTCCCCAGGCTCATCCCTCCCTCTGCTCCCTCTCCTCTCCCCACAACACCCTCCATTCCCCTGTCCCAGCTCTGCCTTTGTGTCTGCAGCTTCTGTTACCAACTGCTAATGATCTACATCAAGGCTGCCAGGCGGTGTGGAGTGTAAGCAGAAGAATTCAGAGCCTCTAATTACAGAGGAATTAGCAAGCAGACAGTTAGTGTTTAGTGCTAATGAATAGATACATTAAGAGAGACATCACACAGGCTGAGAAGTGTGAGGCCTGATAATAAAGGAGTGTCAAACTAGGAAAACACAAGGAGGAGGATCCAGGGGACTGAAAAGGATTCGCCTGCAACTCAGCTCGCTGGTTGGGCTCAGGTGGAAGCATCCACGGGTAATACATGAAGGTTCAGGAACACCCAGAACTGGAAAGTATGAGCATGAAATGACGACTCAATAATGCAGGACCAGGGTGGGCAGGGGCAGAGCCCCTTCCCAGCCCCAGGTTGCATCATACCCACCCCCTCTCCATCAGGGAAAGGAAGCTGAACTGGTTCACTGTCCCAGACCTATTCCCCTCTCCTCTGTGTTCAGATCTGGCCCTGCTTCAGACCTTCAGACCCCAAACCAGGGTTCAACACTCTCAGATCTGCCTTCAGGGCTTCAAACACGCCCTCACCCTGCACTCCTGAGCTCAGAGAAGGTCAGAGGTCACCATGCTGGTTCACCCAGACATTTTTGCAGGTTCCCTCTATCCCCACGCTCTGAAAATGATGCCCAAGTGATGCCCACCTGCCCCACTGCTGCTTTAGCCCAGCCCAAACACCCCATCCCCTGCAGCCAGCACACACCAGTCTCCAGGCAATCCACTGGAAACACAACCACCACTGCCAGCTGCCAAATTCAGTTCTGAAGGTCAGGTAGCGTCCAGGGCAGGTTCAGAGGGACCACAAGAGTCTCTCCTGCTCCCACTCAGGCTGGTGCCTCACTGGCAGCCTTCCACCTTCATCTGGTTAATCCCAGCCCCAGCTGTTCCACTGCGGGGACAGGAAGGGCAGCTCTGCCTCGGGGCACACTCCAGCTTTTCACCGAAATAAGGGGGGATTTTCACACCCAGGGCTTGGGATTTATCCAGGAATCGCCAGGCACTCTTGGTCACCAGCAGCAATGTGACATCTCCCCCCACCTCTTCTCCCGTTCCAGCCCCAATCACCCCAGCAGCGACCAGGAGACGCCACCCACCCCCTTCCCCACCCCGCTGGGGAGCCAGGGGTGCTCACCAGCCTGGTTGGTGGTGATGTTGACGGATGCAAACTGCGGGGAGAAGGGGCTCTGGTCGGTGACGCCGTTGACGGCCTGGATCTCGAAGGTGTACTGGGTGTGTGCCAGCAGGTCGCTGATGTAGATGCGGGGCTCGGTCAGCCCCAGCTGGCGGGGGGCGAACTGCACGTTGTCCCCGCAGCGCGTGCAGGCCCCCCGGCCCGACCCGCAGCTCTTGCAGATGATGTTGTACACCAGGTCCTCCCGCCCTCCCGAGTCCCGGGGGGGGCTCCACTCCAGCATCAGGGAGGTCTCGTTCACGCTGGAGATGACGGCCTGGGGGGCGGAGGGGATGGCTGCGGAGGGAACGAAGAGCGTCAGAGCCAGAGCGCTGCCCCCCCTCGCTGCAGGAGCAGATGCACCTCCCACTCCCAGTCCCCAGCAGGCACACACTGAGCCGGATGCTTCTCCTGGGGTCAGGGATGTGGGGAGCAAAAGCTGGAGAGCCAACGGCAGGAGTGGGAATAAAACCTGTCCTCTTATCCCAGGTAATTTGATTGTGTGATATCCCAAATTTCTCCTCCAGTTACGGCCCCAGAGCGAAGCCACCCCACTGCCCAGAGCAGCACAAACCAACCCAGGTTTCTGTCCCCTCTGGCCCAAAGTATGACAGACCCACACCTGCAAAACTCCTCAGAACAGGCTGCTTCGAGCCCCTCAGCCACCCCCCAAATCCCACTGGGACAGATGCGCTTGCCAAACATCCCTTGATGAGCAGTTCCTTTCTCCCCCCACCCCAATCCAGTCCCTCCCAGTTGCCCAGACCCACATACTGGTGCAGGGCATGTCCACGGGGTCGGCGTCCGCTCGGTAATATCCGTTCCGGCACACGCAGTTTGTGGCCCCTTCCGAGGTCGTCCGGCTGTTGATGGGACAGTGGACACACCCTTCATCCCCTTGGCTGGCCTTGAACGTCCCTGAGGGGCAGCCTGGAAGGGAACAAGAGAGTAGTAGTGAGGAGGGGGCTGCAGGGGGACACCCAGAGCCCGGCTGGGTACTGCCAAAAACACCCCTTGGGGTTTTGCAGAGTCCAAACCCAAATCCTGACAATTGGAAGTGAACACAGTGGAGAAGGAGCAGCTGGTTAGAAGGCACCTGCAGAGATGGGTCCCCATGCAGACATCTCTGCCCCAACCACGAGCACAGAACAAGGACTGCAGGAATGCAAAGGGATGTTTTAGCCCCTGTCACATAAAAAGACACAAGTGGCTGTTCCAGGTCAGACCACGGTCACCAGAATCCTCTCCCCAGCAGTGACAGTGATTGAAGGGAGGTTATCTTGGATCTCAGGAGAAGGTCCTTCCCCCAGAGGGTAGTTGGGCACTGAACAGCTTCCCCAGGGTAGTGGGAAGAGCCTCAAGGCCGACAGAGCTCAAGGAGCGTTTGGAAAACACTCTCAGGGACGGGGTGAGATTGTTGGGGTGTCTGTGCAGGGCTGAGGGTTGGACAGGGTGATCCTTGTGGATGATCCCTTCCAACTCAGGAGATTCCATGACTCTGTGACCATCCAAGGAACAGGACACCAGCCAGGCACACGGGTTGCCATCAGTACCTCCCCACTCTCCAGCGATTTGTAGCTGTCTCAGGTGCAGGCTCTTCCCACTTAGCATCCCACGTGGGGTGTTCCTTGCACTCAGTTGTCCAGTCCTTTTTTTATTCCCTGCAAATGTCCTGCAACCACAGAGCCCCGTGGTGCAACCACATGCTGCATGAAGAAACTGCTGCCCTCTGCTTTGAAGCCACCACTCCTGATGCCACCCCCCACTTCCACTGGCAAGGGACCCTCAATCACCATCCACCTTCTCCGTGATGCCACGGGTCCAAACTTCTGTCATGCCCCATGCAAGTGGCATAACAGCACTCACTGTTTTATTCTCCTTTTGCCATAATCAACACCCAAATTATTTTTAACCACCAATGTGCCTTGAGGGAAATAAGGCCAACTCCCAGTCTTATCTCTGTGCAGGTGTGTGGGAACTTGTCTAGTGGAAGGTGCCCCTGCCCATGGCAGGAGGTGGAACAAGATGGTCTTTAAGGTCTCTCCCACCCCAAACCATTTTGGGATTCCAGGATTTCACAAGCTGGGGCCGTTTTCTCCAACTTGTTTTCACCTCAAGTCTGCTGAATTCCAGCTGCCTCCTCATTCCCTGGTCACACCATCTCGTGAGGTCCTTCTGCAACTCTCTACACCCAGTCCTTGACTTCACAACTCTGTGGATGTGGCACTTGGGAACAGAGGTGGCCATGGCAGTGTTGGGCTAATGAGGGGACTCCATGATCTTAGATTCCAACCTTAATGGTTTTATGACTCAGTACCACAAGCAGATTGTGACCCTGAGTCACGGCAGCAGCGTGCTGGGTTCTACCCCCACTGGGGCTCAGACCCCTGAGCCCCCCACAGATGAAGAAGATGCTCCAACCTATGTTAAACCCAGCAGGATAGGAGAGTGGGGCAGAGCAGATGGGTGATGAAAGCTGGACCTCTACTACAGCACTGACAGATCCAGCACACGTGGCTAAAGACAGCACTGCAAGGCATTCAACGCCACAGAGCCCCTTCCATGCCAGGGATCACCACTGCCCAGGGAAAAGCTTGCCCTGGAGTATTTCTCTGTGCCTCCTCCTGATGCTGACCCTCCCCTGCTGTTAATTCTGGTGCAGCCTGAAGAGCCTGGGGGGGTGGCAGGTGCTTTCTGTGCTGAAATGAGTTAAACAACTTCTCCTTCGGTCGCCTGCCAAGGCTTCCAGGAATGAGGCAGATCAGAAAACAGCCTGGGAAAAACATACACTCGAGGCTGCTGTAAGCAAGAGCCATTGCTGGGAAGCAGCTACTTTTTTCTTTTAGGGGAAAAAAAAAAAAAAGAAGCAAAAAAATGAGGGTTGTTTTTTTTTTTTCAGTTTTCATCTCCCTTCCTCCAAAATGATCCCGAGTTTCAAGTGAGAAAAGCTCTGCAGAAAAATTCCATCAGTCCCTCCTGCCTCATAGAGTCAAAAGAGCTGTGGAAAAACTGGATTCTCCTCATGTTCCTGGATCTTTCCACCCTGTCCCTACGTGTTTGGCTCCATTTCTGCCTCTGTTCCCTTGGGATCAGCCCACCTCAGAGGGTGTTGAGCTGTCAGAAGAGAGGTGATGGTTGGGCAGTTCTCCATTAGCCAGGAGAGATGTGACTGTAGCTGAAATGATAACAGGGTCCCTGCACTAATACCAATATTTGAAACACCGTGAGAACAACACACAAAATTGCTCCAGTCTGACATCCAGGGCGAAATACAGGGTCATTTGATCAAGGATGGTTTAAGACAGGGGCCTCTTTCACCTTCCTGAGGCTTATTCTAAAAATAACAACTTTCCTGTAAGGCTCCTTCTGCATCAAGATAGAGAGACACCCCAAAAAATCTGTGGAGATACAGTGACTGATCCTAAGGGATAAAAACATTCCCCACATTTGCCCTGGCACAGGTCTATGGCTGGACAGAGGTAAAAATTAAGGCTGAAGGGTTGTTCCCCAAAAAATACTGATTTGGGGCACTGAAACTCTTTGCAGGGGCCACCAACACAAAGCCAGAAGTTTTGGCAAGTCCCCCCCTCCCCAGGAGGTCCCACTTGGGATGAAACGATCCTGGAAAAATCAGCACTTCTCAAAAAGATGAATGTTCTGAAATCGTGTGGAAAGACAGAAAAATCACCGAAATTTGATGCAAAGACCTCTTCCTGTTTATTTATTTTTCTCAAGTAATGACAACCCCCAGACGTAAAATAAGCCAGCGTTGTGTTCAAAACTGTTCTGCTCCCTCCGGGTCTTCCCCTGGCTGAGAAAGCAGCTTTGCTTTTGGAATCCACCCAATTTCTTGTTTGCAGAGTAAACAGCAAATCAGGAGTGAAATCTTCACACAGTGGCTGAACCCCCTCCCGCCTGAACAGCGTGAATATTCCCACCACGTGCTGATGGAATCATGGAATCACAGACTACCCCGAGCTGCAAGGGACCCACAGGGATCACCCAGTCCAACTCCTGGCCTCGCACAGGACACTCCAGCAATCCCACCCTGTGCCTAAGAGGATCATCCAAATACTCCTTGAGCCCTGGCAGCCTTGGGGATGTGGCCACTGCCCTGGGGAGCCCTGATCCAGTGCCAGGGGAGAAACCTTTTCCTGATATCCAGCCTGACACACACATGAGAACATCCCAGTTTTCTAAGCCAGCAGCTTTGGGACGTGCTGCTTCCCTTCAGGATTGCAGGGACAGAGCATCCCTAGAAATTCCTGCTTGGAAAGAGGGAATTGAAAACAGCACAGAAAATTCTACTTTATCCAAGAATCCTTAGGATCTGGGAGGCAAGGCCACCTCTGCAGCATCTGCTGCTGGAGGCAGAGCTGGCACCAAGCTGCCAGCCCTCCTGCCCCGGGGCAGCTCAGCAGGAAAAGGCATCCCATGGCTCAGCCTGAAGGAAAAGCCTTTGGCCAAACATGCAGGAGGGGCCACAGAGGGGATCCCTGTTCCCTCGAGTCTCACTGCTTCTTCTCTAACCAATGGTTTAATTAATCCAGCCTGAGCTGGGCAGGCTCCAAACAGGCATCCCAAACTGCCCTGGCCTCCAGAGCCCACCCCAGCCCCCTCCTGCAAACAGCTCTGATCCATCAGCTCCCTCCTGCAAGATAAGCTCCTAAAATGGCACCTTCAGCCCACAGCTCTGAGGGAGGAAGGGTCCTCCTCGCCCCCTTTGCTTGGCTCTGTTTATCCTGGCACAGGGATCCCTCCACTCCAGTGAGGCATTTTAAAGGGCTGATGGAAAGCAGGCAGTCCCAGCTCTGTCAGGATCTGCCAGGAGCCTTAAATTCCCGGACTTATCTCTCCTCTGCCTCCCTTCTCCCTCCTGTTCCAGAGGTAGGGGCAGCAGCACATCCTGCCTCTCCCCCTTCTCCATAGACAGGACACCCAAAAATGGGGAAATCATTGGGTTTTAAGAGCCCATAACAGCCTGGAAAGGCTTTTTTGGGAGGAAAATCTTGGGGGTTTAAGAGTCTGTAGAATACCAGAGTCTTTTTTTTTTTGGTCAGTCTTTGGGTTTTAATGGTCCATAGGAATCCTTCTGGGGGATATCTTTGAGTTTTCAGCATCTGTAGGACACAGAAGAATGTTTACAGGGGGAAAATCTTTGTATTTTAATAATTTGTAGGGCACTGAAGGGGCTTTTTAAAGGGGAAAATCATTGGGTTTTAAGAGTCAGTAAGACCCCAGAGAGACTTTTGGGGGGAAATCTTTGGGTTTTAAGAGTCTGTAGGACGCAGAAGGTGTATTTTGGGGAAAACCTGATGATTTTGGGCATGTCCTTATGGGAATTCCCCCCTTCCCCCCAGGACCAGCTGCTGTTCTGTGATGACTGTGACCCCAGGTACCACATGCACTGCCTGACCCTTCTGGGTCTCTTCTCTTTGTGGTGTGTAGGTGGTATTTCATGGAATCAGGGAATCACAGAATGGTTCGGGTTGGAAAGAACCTTCAAGATCATCCTGTTCCACTCCCTGCCATGGGCAGGGATACCTTTCACTGTCCCAGGTTGCTCCAAGCTCTGTCCAGCCTTGCCTGGAACACTTCCAGGGAATGGGGCAGCCACAGCTTCTCTGGGCAACCTGGCCAGGGCCTGCCCACCCTCACAGGGAAAAACTCCTTCCAAATATCCAATCTAAATTTACTGTCTTCCAGTTTAAAGCCATTTAGGATGTTGCCCTGTGAAGAACTATTACGTCCAACCAGCTCTGAACTTCCCCCTTTTTTCCTTTCACCAACCACACCCTTTTTTTTGCAAGAAAAGGTGAGTGTTGCAAAGACATTGTCACTTTTCCTACATTCTGCCCCTTGTGCCTTGATCCTTGCTTTCAGTTCTGCATCCAAATGGTCTCACTTTGTCTCTCCCCTTTCTCTCCTTG